TGAGAGATAGAGAGCCCTTTAGAAAACCTGCTTTCCTCTGTACTCAGTGGGACTGAGTGCTAGCTCCTGGGAAAACTGTGTCCTGAACACCTGGTGATGAAATTCTTTACTGTAACCTTCCATCAGCACAGCTTTTGCTATTTCGAATGATTTATATTGCTTCTGGGGACACTGCTTGACTTTAGGTGTTCAGCAGTGCCATGAGTGAACTATTACCTTCTTCTCAACAAATGAAAATAAATACCTGCAAATCGTGGCTTGCAAAGCCTGGCTTCCATTAAAATGTAATTACCTCCCTTTTGTGCCTTATGCATTAAAAGTGGCTTCAAATGCTGTGTGGCTCCTGTTCGACATAATTACTTTCCTTTGCTGCTTACATAGTAAGTATGAGGTTCCAGAATAAAGAACACTATTTAAAGAGGGCAGCTGCCATTCCAAATTGCATAAAGAAAGTTCTGCTTATCAAATTGATTTGTTTACTTGGTAAGATGCTCACTGGAATTTTTGTTGCCAGTCATCATGGACACCCAGAAGTGGGTCCAGTGCTGATCCATGACCACACAGCTTTCAATCCTGTGAATAATTCTTAGGCATACAACGATTCATAGAGTTATTCAGGTGATGAATGATTAGATAATCCAGTGTGTGTACATCAACACAGTTCACTCTTGCAGGGCTATTTGTAGGGCTATTTGTACAATGCTATGTGGGTGTTTTTATCTCGCTGAAAGTGCTCTGGGAGTGGGATAGCTGTGCAGTGCTTGGTTGCTGTGTTCTGCAAGGACTGCCATGTGTTCTGAATCTGCTCTTTGGATGTGCCCTGGTGCAGGATGACCCGCTAGGCAGCCTCTCGCTGTGGGATGAGGGAAGGAGGAAAGTGTGCTGTAAAACAGACACAAAAATTGAGGACAGTTTTGTCATCCTCATTAATATTCTGGAGCAGATGTAGCTCACTCTTCCAGTACTTTTGTTTTGCTGCAGGGATGCACAGGGATGCTTTAGCAAGTATTTGCTTGAGGTGAAGGAAGCCCGGTCCAGAGCGGAGAAGGCAGCTCCTGCTGCTGCTTTCCTCAGTGTGGCTATGTGCTGAGACACGCTGGAGGTGGAAGGACAGTTTGCCTGGAGCAATAACACACACAGTGCACTTGGAGCAGTAGGCAAACAGCTACACTTTGCTCCTCTGCTGAGCAGCCTCCTCCCCTCAAGTGTTGAGAGACAGAAAGAGTTAGCACCTACTCCCACCTCAGTGCTGACCCTGCTATTGGTGTCCATAGGAGAAATACCTTTGATAAGGCACGTAATGTATTTAAATTAATGTGTTTAACTGTTAATATCAAACATATTTTCATACCTTTCATATAGTTTTCTATTGAGATGTTCCAGTTTGTGGCCTGTGAGCCAGGTGTGGCCTGTAGGATAGTTTTGTTGCAGCGAGGCATTTAGCCCTGCTGAGCAGGTCCCTGAACTGGCTGAAGTCTGCTCTCCTGAAATCCAAGGTTCTCATCCTGGTTTTTACTTTGCTCCTTCCTCTCCGGATCTTGAACTCCACTACAGGTATCTCATAAAGATACCTCCATCGGGTGTCTAGCTCAGCACTAAAAAGACTGGACCACCTAGCTTTAAAGCAAATGGTGCAGTGAGTAGATTCAAATTAAAATTCTGTCTGGGCTGGTGTGAACTTGGATTTAATCTGGTCAAGCCACCTTGTCATAGTGGCTCTTGATATTGTTGGTAGCACTTGTCTGCAGGAAACACATTCCCTGTAGCCAGCTCACAGCTGATGCACAGATTCGTGGCTCTGTCTTTGCAAATATCGCATTGATCAGGTAGGTGAGGTGAAGGAGTCTGCTGTTAACCCAAAGTGCTTGCAGTTGGCAGTGTTCTGCTCAGGGCAGTCCCTGTTCACCGTGTTGCTTTTCCTACTTCCTTCTGGCTCAACAGTGAGCATTGCCGAGATCAAGCTGCTTTTCAGAGCCAGTGAGATGTGGAGAGCAGCATAGTGGCTTCCCCATCATAAAGGCTGTTTCGGTGGACATTGCTTGATGGGTTACTATAATTTCTGATGGCAGACTGGGGCCATGTGAAGAGACCTGGTAGGAAGCAGCTGAACCAAAGGTCTTGCATCCAGTCTGTGCTAAGCTGAATTGACTTTTGTTGATTTTCATGTATGGAATAGGAATCTGAATGGGAATATTTTTGACAGTGTACCTAGGGAATCCTTCCCTCACTTAACTAGTAGATTCCTACAGCTCGTGCTTGGGCATGGGACTGCTGAGCTTTCAGGTAACTGGCACTGTACTTTCAAGTAGTCAGGGTTTTTGAGCATGGTGTCAGTGTTGGTACTGCTGGCATGGTGACCCTTTCAGTCGAGCCTGGCTATCCTGGAAAGGGAAGTTTTGGTAGACCAAGTGATCAGGGTGACATGGATCCCAGAATTGACTAAGATAAAATATCATAAAAGTTGAAATAGTAGTGTAGGGTGAACAGAGATGAAGACAATGAAAGCAAGCCTGAATGATACAGAGGCAAAGAGTATGTCTGAGCAATGAGAAAACATTAACAAAGTACATCTTAAAGCAACTTTGTACTTAGTTAGCCATGGATATACTGTAGTCTGTAGCCTGACCATAGTCAACACAGGTGGAGGGAAGCTGTGAACAGCCTTGTGCCTGAGAGAATGAACAGCAACATTTTCATGGGTCGATACCTGGGTATTGTTGTCTGTGGTAGGATTTTTAAAAGAGCTTAAGGACATTTGAGCAGGTTTATTTTTTTTTCTTTTTTTTTCTTTTTTCTTTTTTTCTCTTTTCCTTTTCTCTTTTCCTTTTCTCTTTTCCTTTTCTCTTTTCCTTTTCTCTTTTCCTTTTCTCTTTTCCTTTTCTCTTTTCCTTTTCTCTGTTTTTTCTTCTTTTCTTCTTTTTTCTCTTCTTTTCTTCTTTTCTTTATTTATATTGCCACAACCCTGGAGGTGCATGTAATTTCTTGGAGCAAATGTGCTTTGCATCAATACAGTTTACCTGTCTGAAAGATTAAGCTGTGGTGATGTGAATACCTTTAATGTGAGAGGAATTATGTTCCACGCATAAGGGTTTTACTCTGCTGAGGTGCAAAGCAGAATCACTTGTCTTTGTAGGTAGACTGGTTTGTCAGTTTGGGTGATAGGCAGATTATCACAAGGTAGACAACAGGGAGCATTGAGCTTTTGCTAACAGGAGCACATATAGACCCACAGGCACCAAGTGCAAATGAATAAACAGTGGGTTGTGTGGTACCTCAAGTCAAGTGCAAGGCAGGTAGTCTTTGAGGATGGGGACCTGACAGCATCACACAGTTCCAGACCAAAAACCTTCTCCTGGTGGAGACTTCACCCCTACCATGAACTGCACATACCCTTCAGTAAAGTCCTGTTAGTGGTTTGCCCTCATTCCTATGTCTCCTTTGCTTTTAGTAATTTTAGATGAAGTCTGCGGAGTGCCCTTCTGCTTGTGCTGTGTCTTAGTAGATTTTATAGATTCAAGTGCTGGTCTGATTGATAAAATGCCGCTGTTTCTTTCAGAGAAAGTGGTGAAGGGGGCAAGAGAGAGTGTGAGAGAGAGCGCAATCAATACAGAATCCAGGAGGGTCAGTGATACAGAGGGAAAATTAGAGGAAGTGGAGGATGTGAGTAGAAAAGGATAGGAGGTGAAACAGAAATTTTATAGGGGAAAAAAGGTTTTATCTGAAAACAAGTTAGATATTAACATAATGAAAAAAAGACATTTTGGAATGACAGGTTGTAAAATAGTGCCAGATACTGTGAATGGCTCTGGACTACAGATGTACTTGTCTTCTCATTCATGGTGATACCTGTTATTTAACCTGAGATGGCTTTCATTGGTTTGTTTGGTGGTGGTTTTTTTGTTTTTTTTTTTTGGTCTGGGTTTTTTGTGGGCAGGTGTTTTTTGACAGGGAAGAAACAAAGGCAAAATTCAAAGAAGGAAAGCAAAGTCTAGGTTAAGACAAATATGGTTCTACCTGCTTGCTGGTTTGGTTCCAGGAAAGATGGTTCACAGGAACTCAGCTTCCATCAGTCTGTAGTACCTGGTGTGCTGTGTTTTGTGGTGGTATCCACAAGGATTTATTTATGTTTCTAGCAAGAGCCGTTATTTCCCCCATTACAAGGTGACATGTGATAAAAGAGTACCTAATCCTCTTAATTCATGTTCATTTTTCAGACTCCTCTGTGAATTCCTCTACCTGTAGAACACTATGGTACCCTGTAGCACAGTGGAAGTTACCACAGGTGGTAGCATAACATAAAAACTTTAACTTGTACCTTCACATATTGTTCCCATATTTACCCCAAATTAGTCAGAGCGGCAGATGCTCCTTAATCCCCTCCCTACCCTATCGGTACCAGCTGGCTGGACAGACCATGCTCTAATGACTCCAGGCCAGGCTTCTATTGCCTCTCAAGTGTACATAGGTGTTTGCCCTAGACAAAGGGGGAAGGCTTGTCAATGGAGAAGCTGAAGAAACAAGCGAACTTTCTCACTGCGCTCTGGAGTTGCTCTCATATTCAGAGAAAGCCAAAGACTAACAATGAAATAGAAAGGAAGCAAGGGAAGGGGAAGGGTATGTGTGCGGGTAATGTGTGCAAAGCTTTCTTCCAGCTCTCCACTGAGCCATGACCCCGTTTCTCCAGGAGCTGCCTGCTGTTTTCTTATTTTCGAAGCAAGTTCCTGAGACAATGCTTAGCATGCCAAACAGGGTCAGCAGCTCAGAGAGGAAGGGTTCTGAACTGGACATGTAGCCTGCTTCCCATCTTCTCTAGTGCCTCAGCCATTCATTTTTTTTTTTCTTCTTTTCCTTCTGTTTTCCCTTCCCTTGTTCAGAATGATGAAAGAAAATTAGTTCCTAAGTGCATAGAGAAAATGAGGGGAGCTTTCAGGGGTATTGAATCCAATTTATTGCAGTGACTGCTGAATGATAATTTTTTATGGTTATTGTTATCTTGACAGAATCCAAGAAGAAGAAAAAGGAAGGCAAGAAACAAGAGAAGATGCTGGATTAATGGAGCCAACTTGGGCAGTGTGAGAAAGGGACATCAGCAAACACGATCAGTTAACAGTTTCATTTATACCTAGGCATTTTATCCTAAAATTATTTATAGCTTAATGGTACAATAGAAGGAAACAAGCAAACACAGAAAAAAAAATAATTTTTTAATTACTTTAGTATTTTTAATGTGTAATCCTAACAACAATTTTTAGAGGCCTGTAATAAAGGACTCCAAACACATTTAGAAAATTATGTCTATTGTATATTGAACAATGTAGAGGTTTTTAAAATATCTTTTTCTCAAGTCTTGCCGTAGGTCTCAATCTGGTAACTACTCCATGCAAGCAGAACCTGAACCTGTGTGGAGCTCCACTGAAGCCAGTGGTGTCTTGTGTGAACATAGGAGTCTGGCTGGATGCAATTATATTTAAGATCGGGACCTTATATCTGAAAAAAACACCGACTTGTTTCTTATTACATCTGGATAACTGTATGAAATTATATGTTTAAGGAAAGGATGGGGGAATTTTGTTGAGTATTTACAGGCACAGAATTTTTTTAGATGTGTGGTGGATGTTCATTCCAAATGCCACCGTCTCCAGGTAAAATCAAGTAGCACTCCTATCCTTGGACATGTTTTAGATGTTGGCAGTAAAAATTCTGAAATCTTCTGCTTGCTGGACATAGAAGAGTCCTAATTTTTCATTATTTTCTATCAATGATTTTTCAAAGTGGAATGAGAGCAAAACTTTAATATTTTTTTTTTTAGTATATCAATGCTAGTGAATGATAGTATCCTCTGATTTACCTATAAAAGCTGGAAATGCTTTCTTTTATTTGTTTATTTTGCCAGAAGGGAGAATATTCTTTTCACAAAAACCTAGATGAAATTTTTGTGATTCTCTGTGACCCAGCTCCCTTTTGTATCAGTGGGAATCTTCCTGTTGATTTTAATTATAGCTGGTTAAAAAATAATATGTCTGATGGGAAGTAACAGAAGAAATCTGTTTGGAAATGGCCTGAGATAGTTCATAATTTTGACCAAAAAAGGGACAATTTGTGGGACTTGAAACCAATAGGAATGAAATTAATTTTTGTTTCTCTGTTAGTAACACAGAAGAGAAATGCAAAACCAGTACCTTTTGTTTTCTTCATTTTTATAGAAGCAAAAAGACCTTGGAAAGCTCAGTCAACATATAAATAGTTCTGTGTTTGTTTTTTTTTAAAATGGTCTACAGGGAAAAAAAAGGAAAAATTATAACCAGCTGTTTTTGATTTTGTTCAATTTTACCTATTTGAAATGATAAGAAGTCCTGAGAAAAGTCATAAAGTAGAAAAAAGATCTGACAAAGGGCTGGTCTGTTCGCAGGTAAAGAGTTGTTTAACAAACAAAACAACCAACAGACTGGACTTTTTAGAGATAACATAAGGGATTTCACTGCCCAAATTAATTTCAAAATCATTGCTTTTAAATTCTGAATCTTAAAATTCAACAGCAAGAAATAAGCTTTGCCATTTGTGTAGGCTGCAGGCTTGCCTGCTGGTCAAGAGGAATAGTCTCCCTTGTACTGCTGCGGGTACCCACTGACTTCAGTGAAGCTGCAGCAGAAATTTCATCTGAGTAAATCACATTGCTGTCTTGGGATTAGCTTGTAGACAAGCAGAGAATCTTTCTCCAGACTAACATCACTGCCTTCTTCTATGCAACAAATTTATAACAATTGCAGAGCTTGCCCTCTTTTCTTCTCACATGGAGGGTATGGCTGTTCTGAACTCACAGTGAGGCAAGTCCTTCTGTAGACATTCTCAAACCCTACTGAAGCCAGCTAGACAAGGCTGCACATAGCTCGAGGTAGTCTAGCCACACAATTATTTCCCAGACTCCTTGGGTGTGTTTTGCAGTCTGTGTTGATGTCCTTGTTATTTTGACTATATAGTTAGACATACCTGAGCCAGTGGTGTACCTAAAAATGTCCCCAACAAGTGGTGGATGTGCAATGACCAAATCCAAAATCATAATGGCTCATATTTGGGTGGTTCTGGGTGCTATTTGGCTTGTTCAGGGTCTAATCAGGTCTACTTGTGCTTGTGCCTCAGACTTAAACTGGTGTATTGGTAGGTCTGATTAAAAGCAAAGGGAGAAAGAAGCTTTTTCACTCACCAAAGGTTTGTCTGTCTAAATGCTGCATCAGTTCACTTAAAGTGGTTCAGCTTTGAGTGCATACACTGTTGCACCATTGTCTTACACTGGTTAATCTAGTCCATGTTTCATAGGGAGCTGGCAGGGGTTGGGAAAGATGCTGAGATCAACAGTTTGACTGTCCTTTAGCAAACCTTAGATGTGGCTTCTGATTTCCACTTCTGTGAGTAAGAAGAAAAATAAATTCCCCTGTGTTTCCTCTGACACCTTATGTTTCTTATGATTAACTGCCCATCTGACTTGTTAAAGGAACATTCCTAATAGTTTTTGAAGGAGGCCAGTCAAGTTCCTACGGTGGTGTAGGGCCTCCATGAAGAGAGTTTACAAAAAACAAAGAATCAAACAAACAATACCATGTTAGGACCAGAAGAAAGTGCAGCAGTCCTGGTAGCAAAAGGTGTGAAATGGGAGAATTCTTTCTCTGAACTGCTCAGCCACATATGTTTGGATCTATGTTGGCATCTTATTGTTAACAGTAATTGGAGTTGCATCTGTCATAGTTTATAAGCAATGAAGAAAATTTCCAAGAAACTAGGAGAAAACATTCTGTGGAAACTCTGGCTAGGAAGAAGGTGATAAAAGTAATTCATGACAGAACACAGAGGAAGGTTGAGTAGAATAAGTCAGTCAGGTCAGCTCTTAAATTAGGTACCTGGTACCTAACAGGAGCAGTTACATCACTACTGACATTACCAAGAAAGCAAGAAGCAAGTATTGGAACAAAACCTCTTCCCACCCCATCTTGCTCAGTTTCCACTTAAGTCTTTCTGAAATTTCTCCTTATTTTCTTTCTAATCTTCTACTCTCCCTCCTTTGGGCGGGGAACCTTGTCTGACAGTACTGTGGGGGCAGCTACTTCAGATGAGATATTTGTTTTGCCCTCTTGGTGCTATCCTGTTACAACGGAAAATGACTTAGCATAGATGTGTTGCTTAGCTAGTTTGACTGAAGCTTGTTTCATGAACATCCTGCTTAAGAAGTAGTTTCCATATTCATTTGCTACAGCTATAATATGGTATGGGGAAATGACAGAAATCCCCCAAATGACAGCCTTTTTCTGAGCACTTAAATCTATTAGAAAAGATAGGGGTGAGTTGCTGAACATCAGCTAAGGATGAATCTGCATCCAGACTCTGGATTCCAGCAAGTTTAAACTTAGGGGAATTTGGGTATAGCACCCTTCCCTTCCTCTAAGTAGGCTGAGCCATGCTTCTAAGCAATTAGACCTGTCTATATCTTGATTCAAAACAGTATTTGAGAACTGGGGCATTTTCTGACTTTGACATGTCTCCTGGCAGAAAGTGCCTGTATTGAAAGAGAATCAGTTTTTCAGCCTGGCATATTTAACAGGCTATTAAGTGCAGCAAAACTATAGGGCAGGGCTCCAGGAAGGGAAAACAATTGTACATGCAGGTAGATACTGAGTTGTAACGTAGTGATTCTAGTCTTCTAATTCCATAATGACATTCTTGACTGTACTGTTTTTCAAAGGAGAAAAATTATGAGAAATTAAAGAATAGTGATTGTAAAACATATCAACAGACAGTGTTGGAGACTTTGTCCAGAAGAGACAGATATGAAGTCAGGAGCATTTTATACAAAATTCTTTTGCATTCTCCTTGAGTAGGGAAGGCAGGTTTACTGGCTGGCACATTTGTTTTTATGCTTTACTTGATTTGTGCCTTAATGAAAACTAATCAAATGTAAAATGTTATTAAACATTTGGAGAAGTAAGGTCCCACTCCATCCTCAAAAGAATGTGTCCAACAGGAGGCAATGTCAAAGAGAGACAACAGTCTGTCTTTTCTGGTTTAGGAGAGCAAGTTACGATGATGTTGATAGTAGAAAACATATCTCTTTAACTTTGGCGTATATCCTTCACCACTTAGCATGTGGTAATGGACAATTCAGGTAAAACAATGGTGCATTAGAATGAACTAAGAAGTGAATGCTTAATGGAGACTGTTTATGGAAACAGACCTGTAAAACCCCTGAAACTAACCATGCCGCTAGCAGGGAGCATCTGAAGATAAATGTATAGCATTCCCATTTGTTACATGGAATCCCTTAATAGATGATGAACTTATCAGAGTTTCCTTAGTCTAGTGTCAATGATGAGGTGGGACAAAAGCCAACATGGCTTTCCTTCAGTCTAGGAATGGCAGCAACATTAACAATGTAAACCTGCCACTTTTCTAAAGTAAAATCTTGGTGAGGTACACCATTTTGACATGACACAATAGTATCCAAAATTCTTATTGGAAGAGAAAGCAGTATGTGAATGAGGGTAGGTATCTCATATTCAATCTTTTAAAACTCGCGGGGATGGCATCTTCTGTGAACTTCTAACTGTCCTCTCCTTTGTGGGGACAGATTATACCTGTTGTCTGTCCTACCCACCTCATCCTTAACTTTATCGTATTTGTAGATTTTCTGTCAGTTCTACTAAGGCACTCTACCTCTTAGCCAGACTTCTACGAATGTTGATCCTTCTTTATGCTCAAGGCTGTATTCTACAAATACAAAATAGCCCCAGCAAGCCCCTACTATCATGTACCTCTCATTGTGTGTCCTTCTAAGGTTAAAACTAAAAGACACAGTAAATCAGAAGATGATAATGAACAAGGACATGTGAGAAGGAGAAGAGAGATTCTCTGGATTCATTGGGAGGGTGGCTTGCTGGTAAAACCTTTGTCATAGCTCAGTCTGGGTGAGACTTTCCAGAGGACAGAAATGCATCATATCTGATGGAAAATTAAAGACAACAATGAAAGAGTTGCTGCCCTCAAACAGGAAAACACCTTAGCTCGATAAACAGTGGCAAGAAGCTGCATCCTTTCCCACTGTGTCCTCTTTTGCCAACAAGTTAAAGGGAAGAGACATGGCTCATAGAACTTCACGGATAGTGAGACACTTGCCTGAGCAAAGCAGAGCATGGAGAGAGCCT